TCTATATCTATATCTATATCTATATCTATATCTATATCTATATCTATCTATCTATCTATCTATCTATCTATCTATCTATCTTTGGTTATTCGGGTTTTCTCCTGCGTAAAATTGGAAGTATTTTGGCGACGTTTCGACAAAATCTCATTCGTCATCTTCAGGCTTGTGTCTTCGGCTTTGTGCTTCTTGGAGTAATGTGAGCTTGCAGCTGTTTTTTCTTTTAACTGCCAGTGGGAGTGCAACTTGACTGGGTGGGGGTTTGGCTGTGTTCTGATTGGGTGGGGGTGTGTTCTTATTGGTTGGGGGCCTGGCTGTGATCTGATTGGTTGGGGGGTTGGCTGTGTTCTAATTGGCTGGGGGTGTGTTCTGTTAAGGTGGGGGCTTGGCTGTGTTCAGGTTAGTCTTAGTTGTCAGGGGATTTGAGCTGGTGAGCTGTGATCCTGTTGTTTGGCTTCGGGTTCATGGTCGTGCCACATTTTGTCAGTTTGCTTCATGTATGGGTCGGAGGGGTTTGAAGCGGGTAGTGATGCAGCTGCTGTACGGCTTCTGGTCCGTGGTCATGTCTCATCATCAGTGTGGGTGTGGGTTTCCAAATGGCTGGTAGGCGGGAGGTATTATCTCGTTTATTCTTCAATGCATGAGCAAATTCTTCTGTTGGTTTGTCCGATGCGCACGCATTGAAGAACGCAAGAACTCAATCAAAAAAGAAGAACTGACCTCTTCCCTGGTCCAGCACCTCAAAGCCACAGGACATGAGATTGACTTTAAAAATACCAGAACTATCACCAAAACTCAACACTTCAACAACAGAATAATCAGAGAAGCCATAGAGATAGAAAAATGCCCACACAGCATGAATAAACGAGATGATACCTCCTGCCTACCAGCCATTTGGAAACCCACCCTCATTAACAAACGAGTACCTAACATGAAGAATGACACCAGACCCACACCCATGAAGGCCACACAAGATGCTACCACCACACTTCTATGTACAAAGCAGATTCACACCCGCTATACAGAAGCCTGATGATGGCAGATGAGATTCTGCCGAAACGTTGCGACAACTTTAAAAGCACAACTACAATGACGTGGGAAAATACCCGAACAAAGCTGAATGCCATACATGTAAGTACCCGCGAAAACTTAAGAATATATATATATATATATATAAGTTGTAGCAGAACTTTAACTTTAACTTTAAAAGCACAACTACAAAGATGTGGGAAAATACCCGAACAAAGCTGAATGCCAACACACACACACACACACATACATGAAATGCCTGTGAAATAAGTTTTGTGGGGTCCTTAGCTTCTCTCTGAGCATAGTTGTTTTCTTGCAGCACTGATGATGCTACCTAAGTTTGGTAAGGAAACGTCTGCAAGAAAACAACCAAGCTCAGACAGCAACAAGGATCCCAATCGAAGGAGGGCTGTCAGAGAGATTAATTATGGATTCAGTTCAATCCTGACCTACAAATATTGTTTTCCAAAATAAGGTATCCTATTTAGAAATTCATTTCTATTTCTATACTAACCACTATTTCTCATATGCAAGCTAGTTACAAAAATGTCCTCACACCCACCCACCCACTCATTTGTTTTCAACAGCTCTTCTCAAGGATTATAATGGAGCCCTCCTCCATTCCCAATTACAAGAGGAAAAAACCTGTCTCAGCAGCCTTTCAGATTCTCCTTAAAGTTCTCTGTTAAATTACAAAGAGCAGAGGTACAAGGAACTAGGGAGAAGGGAGAAACTTTGATAATTCAGGCATTATAGTAGCATAGTTAAACTATTTTCTTAAGTCTTCAACTTCAAGAAAAGTGTCCATAGGGAGAAAGTAAAAAATAAGATAGCAAAACATATTAAAAAGGTAGGGCTTTGATGATATGATTATGTCCGCCAGCTTGACTGTTTTTATCTCCTCCACTCCATATACACACCTGGTGCAACATTAAAAGAAAAAGCCCATTGTCAAATGAATAATAAAACACAGCAAAGCTTATTTTAAATAATGAATAAAACAGAGTGGAATGGAGCATGGTGGGAAAAGGGCAAAAAATATCTGAAATCCTATGGCCATTGACAAGTTAATCCTGCTAATCTCACTATTTTCACATGCAAAACAGGAGATGTGAGTTAAAACACTCTTCAAAATGATGTCCATTAGAAGAAATGGTACTTTCCATTTCCTCATCTCTTTCAATCCCATTGGTTTTAGTATACGTGCTGCTGAAATGAGTACTCAATCCAATCATTTTTGACATAGGATTGTGCGCCACTTAATTTGGCAGGCAATTATAGCACACCTGCAGTATTATGTGAGACCTGTTTGAAACATTTTAAGCATCAGATTGTATGACACAGAATCACATTCTTCAACTTGGGAGTTTATAGCAGCAATCCCCAATCTTTCCAGTTTTGCGGCCTGACACAGAGGTGGGAAGGAGAGAGGATGGTTCTGTGCGAATGGCAGCTCACTTGCACAGTTCTGCAGCCGTGGTCCACAGGTCAGGGACCCTTGGTTTATAGGACTTGAAGATAAGTGAACATTCGTTGTGTAAACAGTTTGGCTTACAATGAGTTGGAAATGGTTGATTGATAACCATTGTCCAGATACTTTGCAAATTAAGGGAAACAGCATGATGTCTCTCATTATGAATGTTGTCTTCTCATGTTCTTTAATTTGACATATATCGCTTTCCACTATTCCACAAGACATGCAGGTTATCCTAAATATGGTACAATGGATAAGTAGGCAGTTTGCAAAAATAAATAAATCCTTGGCTTGAAATCCCAAGATGCAGAAGCTGAAGCCATATTGATTGATCTCCAAATACAAATGAAAACAAGGGGAAACATGGGCCAGGATGGCATGAATTTCATTTAGAATCAGAGCCAGAGCACATGGTACAAAATTAATGACAGGATCCATTGCAACGCTTGCAAATGCTTACACTGGACATCTGACATAACTTTATCAATTACAACTTTATCAAATTACAAAGAAACTTTTGCCAAATCATCACTTCATTTAAAAAGCTGCATGTATTTATTCTACTAAATCTTCTAATATAAAAATTATTCATTTCAATTGTATTATATTATTGCTCTGAAATGTACTTAAAATATATAATGCTTTTTCAAAAAGAATCATAATGCAATCTTCTTGCATGCTTGCTCAGAAGTAAATCTGGTTAAATTCCATCAATCGTCTCTCAGATAAGTACAGTTGCTACTAGATTATGGTCTTAATCTACTTTAGTTATTAGAATTGCATAGTGCCCTATGCTATATGATCTGGTGATTTCTAACAAAAGGTAAGAATATATATATATATGCTTAAATCTATACTTACAGAATCCCACACATGTGTGAAGTGTGGTGGAGGAAATAATGGTGGTGGTGGCGGTGGAGGAGGGGGAGGAGGAAGCGCAAGAGCAACAAAAGAGCATCCTCGGTTAGTATTGATCCGTTTCTTCTGGTCCAGACAAGGGAGGGCTGTTGGAAAGATTAATTGTGGTCTTTGATGAGGTCCATTTATACTCTCAAAAAACTGTATCATGAAACACAAATGTAATATAATTCGTTGTATTTGGAGAAAGATACACTTGCACACATTATTAAAATAATTAAAGCTGTGTCAAAATTATATAAAGATAAAGATGACAGAGATAATAGAGATATAGTAATGAGGCAATAATGGTCCCAATGTCTTTGTGTCTTTAAATGGAGACCAGTTTGTCATTCTCCTCACCCAAGATCACCGCTTAAAATATTTTTGCTGCACCATTCAAATCTCTCTCTCTTTTTTGTCTATGTCTAGACACTTCCGCTCAGTTATCATTTTTGGTCTTCAATGCCTTGGGACCAATCGAAAACAGAACACAGCTGTTTTCCTCAGAGGTACCCACAAGCTGCAAAGTTGTTCTGGATGATGCAATCAACAGCTGATTAATATGGGAGGGCAAAAATCACCACAAGTAACCAGGTTCTTGCTATTTTGCTCCACCTCCCCCAATTCTCTGTCTGATTCCTTTCCATCACTGATTTCAAAACAGCACGGCCAATTATTGTGAAAACGACTGACAAAGTCTACCTTTACTCTGTTTAACAAGATTAGTGTGCAAATAGCAGCTAGTCAGCTATGAGGAGAAGAACAAATAGCCAGAAGCAGAGTGAAAGAAACAACCATTAACAATATTTTGTCATTTCAAAATGTTGGTGATCCAAATCTAACAGCACAGATTCTTTAGCACCTCATGACTTACTGATCCAAGATGCAGAAGTATGTAGAAAGACTGTTGAAGATTTACTCTTGAGTTTCTTTTGCTTGTCTAAGAGATTTAGACTAATCTGAAGTCACTTTCTTCTGCCTGTCTTTAGAGGCACACACACATGGAATACATGCTGCTGGATTTAAGATGTAATTAGCTTTGCTTGTCCCAGTCATATATTTTCCGTAAACATATAATTTTTTCCACTGTAATTATAAAACTCATTTCATTAATCATTGCTCTGGCTAGACTCACATCCTTATGAATGTTCACATTCCCAGAGACAGCACTTCAATTTCAAAATTGGTTTTTAATGATTGTTCCTAAGGCACATCTGACTTCAAAATAATTCAGGTCCACTGCTTCAGAAGGGTGTGGTGTGAAAGCACAGGGAACACAATCTGTCAACCTGGAAGTGAAGCCATTTGGAAGAACCTTCCAATGATATTGTCAGAAAGAGATCAGTGTAACAGAGCCCATCCTGTCAGAAATGTCCTAAATCTTCTAGATATTGTATATTATTATAATTAGGAAAAACACTAAAATAAGGCAATGTATCTATAGACATTTAGCAAAAGCCTATGATACTGGTTCTTCTGCTAATTTAAAACTAATGGTTTTTTTTGTTTTGAAAAGTAAAGTACGGGTTAAGCTACACATACTTCTCTGATTTGGCTAATTCCTTCTGTTCTCTGCTCCACTTCCATTAATTTATTCTTTTGATTTAAGCCCAGTGTAACCATTTGTAACCATTGCTTTTACTTTAAGGTAGAGATTTATTATAATTCTGAAGATAGTCTGCCCTTCTAGAGTTATAATTTGTGGCCTTTGGAATGAATGTATTTAGTGCACCTCGATCACACTTCACATTTATCAATAAATGCAGATATGACGTGCTCATATAAGCATAGAGCTGTTTTCTGCAATCTGGATGTTTTCCAGGTGTGTGGATCTCATAATTCTCATGCTAGACTGATTTAGGATTTGGGATTAATGACCACCTATTTGCAGGGCTTCCACATTGGGAAAAGTTGTACCGTTGCCATACAGTCTTGCCATCTGTCCAGCCTTTTTTCAGTTTTCAGAAATTAAGTCCTGATGTCTGCTTGCCTATAAGGATTAAACTTCCTCTGAGCACTCTGAACAATATAGCCATGAAAAATCATACACAGTCATTCCATCTGAAACACTCATGCAATAAGTGACTCAGCTTAGGAGATTCTGGATTCTCACAGGAGAATGTGAGTGAGCACATTGTACTTCAGTAGGTCACAAGACAAACAAGAGGGTTTCTATTAAAAGCCCATTGAATAATAGGTCCGTGATTCATTCTATGGGGCATACTCATTCTTTTGGCACTATCTCTGTGTTTCCTAGCTTCATTATGGCTCAGTGTCAAACCCGAAGTTCCCTGACTCTAAGAAGTCTCTCCCTTGGAATGTCCCCAGCATTGTTTTACCAGCTATTATACTGCAGTCATAATCTCTGCTGCAGCTTTTATGTTTTCAATATTTTATGTTCGTCAAATTGCCTTTGCATGAACAGTTTTGACTTCTGAAACTAAACAGACAAGCAAAGATTTCATTTGGCATCAGTTAGGAAGAAGGCTTATTCTGTTCTTCTGTTCATTTTCTATAGCTGCCTTCTTCTATTGTTATGTGTTATGTGAATTTCGTTGTATGTGTATACTGTGTATATATGTACAATGACAATAAAGTACTATTATTATTATTATTATTATTATTATTATTATTATTATTATTATTATTATTATTAATTGTCATCAGGAAAACCCTTCAGGAATTAAGTTTATGGGAAGAGTTTGATTTTACAACTGTACAAGTCCTTTTTTCTTTTTTTTTTACTGCTGTGGCTTACAATATGGATTGACATTTTGTACTTATTATATGATCTTCAAAGTATTTAAGTCCTGCTTGCTGATTTAAAAGTTTGATAAAAATAATTAACACCTATTGTGATGAAATGAAATCTGCAGTGGAACCCATGCAGAGCATAGCAGTATAATAGGATGCTTCCTAAATTTTGTTTTTTGTTTTAAAAAAAAGAGAGTGCAAGAGAATGTGAACAAGAAATGAATGAATCTCTCTCTAATAATTCTAACAGGCCAACCAAATTTTCTATGGATCAGCAGATGAAATAAAGGGACCATGTGCTCTATTTTACAGAAGGTTTTTCTTAGTTTTAAATAGTTTTGTAATTATGTCTGACTGAAAAATTAAATTGGCTGATTGAGTGGCAAGATGGCAAGTATGATGAAGTGAGAGATCTGCCTCTCCTTCACAAAAGACCTAAGCCTTAGACTGAGGCCAGGGCTGTCAAACTCACAGCCTGCGGGCTGGATGCATCCCGTGTTGGCCATGCCCAAGCCCGGTTTAGTGAAGGCGAAAAAAGTCTCGATACATACGTGACACCACCATGTCGATGTGAGTTTGGCACCCCTGACTTAAGCGAACAGCCAGGTCTTCACTGCTTTCTGAACAACAGCAGAGGGAGAGGGCATTCAGAACTCAATGGTGCAAATAGATGGCATTGTTTAATCGAAGGAACCTGGAGCTTCAATCCTGGAATATCCAATCAGCTGAAGACACTATGGGAAACTGGTAGATCCTATGCCATTCAGAGCATTATAGAAAACAACCAACATCTTGAATCACACCTGGAAGCAAACTGGCAACTGGCACAGCTCATGAAGTCACACAGTTTAATGGGCATACTGAGGCATATCCTTCATTGCTCACATTGCTACAATGCAGGATTAGGTAGTCTTCAAGTACAGCCCCATGTAGCCTGTTTGCAAATGTGCAAATTTTTTCTTTTCTTTGAGTTTTTTTCCTACTGGTTCAATAAGAGAAAAGCTCTTAATTTCAGTATGTTCTAAACAATCAGATTTGCTGTGACTATTTACTTACAAGTAGCAAGTAAAAAAGCTGGCCTTAACTACATAATTAACTAAACTGATTATTTTGCTAAACTGTAAATGTAATGCACATTGTATTGGAAACTTTGAAACATAAAATTGCTGCAGTCCTTATACGTGAAATGTTCCAGACTTTAAAGAGCAGAGGTGGGAGAAATATAATGACTATTGCAGTGTCTTGAACTCTGTTTAGTATTAATGCATCTACCTATATTGAAAGCCAAGCAAATTATTTTGAGATCAAAAATCTCACAAAAATTTTTCATGACATCTAATATCAAAACAACAAAATTAAATAAGTAACATTGTGTTGCCCTTCTATGGCATCCAGAATTTATTCCCAAATATGTCTGTCTCATTCTGTCTTACTATAGAAATGACTCAGCTGATTTCAAAAAACAAGCCAACAAATCATCCTGCTTACAAAGGATGCTAGGTCTTGATACACTGATGGAAAGAACATTGCATTATATGAATATTCCTCAGCAACAGAGAATTCATGGTGTTTTTGCAAGACCTGAACCCCTATAACTTACATAGCAGGCAGGTGTTGCAGCACAATATGGATATGTTATGAAAGACTAAAACAAAGTACAGGTTTCTTTCAATCACAATTGCCATCTATACCACCACCAATTTCAAAGGGCAGAGAAGATACTTCATACAATCAAAGCCCTCTCCAGCTGACTAGGAGGACAGAACTGCCACATCCAGCCTCTGTTTTGTTTGACAGTTCACATATCAAAACTTTTTCATTGGAAGAAGGGACTGCAGAGCTGACAAGCCTTTTTTTTAAAAAAAGCAATTTTATTTGGGTTTTCACAAAACAAAACAAAAATAAAACATCTTTTTTAAGTGAACAGCATGGTTCCAGGTTTTCACAACAGTAGTGGGATTCAAAAAAATTTACTACTGGTTTTGTGGGTATGGCTTGGTGGGCATGGCAGGAGAAGGATACTGTAAAATCTCCAGAGGTGGGATTTTCTCCGAACTATTCAAAATTTCCACCACCAGTTCTCCAGAACTGGTCAGAACCTGCTGAATACCACTCTGCTTCACAAAGCTCCTCCTTCCTTAAAACAACAGAAACACTATGGAGATATAACCTTTGCAGAATGGGAAGATGAGGAGCTAAGAGCAAATTTATATAACAATTCCCACCAATTGGAAAATAGTTAGCCTCCAAGCTCTATGACAGGGATATCAAACTTACATTGTCACGTCATCATGTGATGTATCATTTTTTCCCCTTCACTAAATGGGGCATGGGTGTGTGCAGCAAGTGATGCATCCGGCCCACAGGCCACGAGTTTGACAGCCCTGCTCTATGAGAAAGCAGATTTCCTTTAAAACTGCAGCAAAGCCTGTAAAAAATCAGCTCAATTGCCAAAACTAAGAAAATGCACTAAAGAAAATGCATTTTAAAAGATCCATCCATAAATATTTTCACCCCTGCAGATTTGTTGTTAGTAACTCAACTGCTATAGCAGTCAAACAGAAATGAAGAATCATGGCCACATTACCTTATGTAACCTAAAACCTTGAAGCAATTCCTTTAGAAGTGGTGTTTCAGCATCAAGAAATCAGAGCCAAGAGGATCCACTACTATTTCTGGAAACAAGATGGCACCTAGTTTTGGAGATGTTGGGTTAGGGGAACGAACCCATGGTAAAACCACGTCTCTTTATCACAACATGATATCATGGTGATAATCAATTATTTTGCTCCCAAGCTGCATTTGTTTGATACTCTGCTTAGTAACCCTGTTTAGCTGCTTCAGCTAGTTTGTCTGTGTTTGTTCATTTTAAATTAGCCTCTCCTGAGAGAACGCCTTTACTTGTACTAGATAGAAATAAGAGAGTGGGATTCCCCCTGCTGCTGCGCATCTTTATTAGATATTTGCTATGTGTATTCTACATAGATGCTTTGAAGCATCAAGTCCACAAAAAAGATGAAAGAACTTTTGCAAGAATTCAGCAGACGATGGTTATCCAAATTGTAGGTCATTTTTATGTTTTTTTTAATGTATTTTTAAAAAAAAGACTTTTAAAAGAGAGAAAAGAAAAAGCAGACATGCAAAAATAACAATAAGATTTTATTGCCCTTCCAGTCCTTCCTTTGACCTCTGCAAATTGCCATTTGATCCCTACACAAAATTAATTTGTGAACTTTAAAAGAGAGTCTCAGTAAGCACAGTTCTAGACACTATATTAATTTGTGTTAGTTCAGTGTATGGGTATATTTTTAATAACTATTTCATAACTCTAATATGCCTAATATATATAATGATTCTTGGCACAAATGTGTAGTTGAGCCATGAAGTTAAAGTTTCATCAATTACAAAAAACATAAATCTAAAGTCAATATTTTAAAGAAACGTTACACAATAATTATATCCAGACTAATTCTTAAACGAATTTCTTCAAATTGCTTCCCTCTGATGTCTTTAATAATTTTAAGAAGTTAACATTCCTTTTTAGAAAGCTGCGAAGTTCACCTTTAAAATTACACATTGTAGTAACTAATGTCATTCAGACAAATGGTCATTCCAGGTAGAATGAATTCAAAACTAGATTTAAATGTTTAAATTGTTGCTTTCTTTCCAAGTGGTTGGGATCTCCATTATGCGTACTGATAAAGAAACCTTTTCACTCTGAGAATGAAGCTGAAATTGATTGGGGAAAAAAAGCATTGCCTATTCCCTGTCTTCTTTCCACTGCATACAGCTGAAGGAAAACCAAGGATTAGAGTGGTAAATAAGATTCCCGCCTCAGACAATCCACACTGGGTGATGGTCAGGTTTTTCCATGCAGTGTTTTTTTTACAGCAATTGGCTATCAAAGTTATCTGAGTTTTTGATAGTTTGAGTATTATTTTTCATAAGATGTTTATCCTGATTATGTTCAATAATGCAGGATAAAGTCAGGAATATATTGACAAAATGGATAATACAATATAATTCATTTCTCTTCCCTGATGTCCAAGTTAAATAACATGTTCAAGGCAACATCAACTGTCAAAATAAAGCACCAGACCCATATGACAGAACAGAGCATATTTCCTAGGAATGTGATCGGTTTACTGTTAAATAAGAGATGTTCACGCTTAGATGAGCTGTAGCTCATATATATATGAGCTACAGCTTCATTTACATTTGCAATCAAGTTTCTCAAAGCTTTAATGATTAGAAGAGATTAGAGATAAAAAAACATGTTTCAGAAAAATCACCTAAGAGAAGATATGTAACTCACCAAGAGGCAAAGCTAGGTTGTCATTTACCTGCTGAAATGGAGAAGACACTGTCGACAAAAGAGGTTTGAGACAAAGCCCAGCAGAAAAAGACCTGAAGATAAAATCCCAGAGCAATCCAGCTGAGGATAACCATTCTGGCTGCAAGCTGTATGATTTCTTGACCACTGTCTTTTCTGCTTGCCTTTCCTCCTTCAGCCTCTCACTGGTTCGAGATGTTTATGTGTGCATGTCTCTCTCGTCTCTCTCTCCCTCTCCCTCTGTTCTTTAGGGAGAAAGAATGCTAACCATTTCCCATTAAATCTTCTCCTTACACTAGACAGGGCTATATTTAACTCAAGCATTGGATCAGATGCCCCCATCACAAATACCAGCTATTAAAACATAGCCAGAGCACTAATGAAGAGAGGGAGGGTGTGGTATGAAGCTGAGTGGGAAAGCCATGCCTCTGATTGATAACTAGATGATCACTGAGCTAAATCCATTCATGAATGAAGATAACTCCATTAACAATTTCAACATCCAGGACATGCAGTTACTAACCTCATGTTTTTTTCACAGTGTTTCCATAATTCATTTCAAAACTTCATGTGATTTAACACATTTAATTGAGGTAGTAGAGCACTATTCAATATCAAGTGCCAAGGCCTTCAGCCTGGTGCCCCCAAGCACCAATGTGGGAGCTTGGAAGGGCTAATTAACATTTTGGTAAATTGCTGCTTTGTACATGTAATGGGTTTTCTCTCCAGAACCTTTGTCAATGCATGCTTTAATTTATTTATTTTGTGTCCAGATCAAATCATAAATCAACAAAATGAAGCCACCTTTTTGGCTTTAACATTGGCCAGAAATTTATCTCTTAGCATATTTGATAGTAATTAGTAGACCAACAAATGAGCTGAACTCTGCATCTCTCCACATTCGCACATGGTGTTGTTATTCACCCACAATCCCCATTTGGTCTTACACTTCGGTACTCCTAAGAATGCTGAGACTATGTTTTTAACATTTCAAATCTAATAGCACAAAAAGGTTGGAGATCACTTTTCTAGTAAATATCATTAAGTTTGAATTATACTTATTGTAATGATGCAGCAATAACCCTCTTCAACTAAGGTATTTTGAATTTTCAGTAACTAAAATAAAAAGGTTTCTCAATCTGTTTCTCAAACTTTCCATCTTATAACAAGTTTTGTATGTTACAAATGCACTTCATGTTCTATATGAATTGTGAATCAGAATTTGCCCTGGCCCTCATCCAAATCTTTTTTCTGCAACCATTTAGTAAGAAAACAACTATATTATTACTGAAGGGCAAAATGTTTTTCAGGGAAACCAATCTGCAGTTATGGGGAAGACCTAGTAAGCTTCTAAGGAATGTCAGGGTCTCTAAATAGAACAGTTTGGAAAGTACTGCTCTAAGGGATTAATTCTTTGGCCAAGTTGCAATGATGCAGATATGCTGGGGTCTAGATTATTGCTGTTATACTGAAATATGGATAAGAAAAGACATTTTATTTCTACTTACCTAGTATGGCATTTTCTATATGGCTCTCAAGTTCAAACAGAAGCTATTAAACTTTAACTCCCATCTTCAAACTTATTTTTGTGCTATTTAGAAAGATCTCATAACTAATCATTATTTGGTCCAAATCCTTATCTTAGATGTTTAGATTTTCCTTTTCAAAGAGCAGAAACAGTGCAAGCAAAAGATATTGAAGTTTCATTCTCCCTCATTCTATTATAAAAGAACTACTGGTATAACCAAGCCACCTCTTGGTTACCAGTGAATTATGCTATGAAGGATCAGTAACTGCATGCCAATTATAGGTATAGTTGAAGGGCACCATTCTTTATGCCTAACTAACTTATAGACTGCAGCTTACAAGGATAAAAACGCAATATAAAAAAAAAAAAGCAATAAACCCCTAGTCCACCCCACCCCGGCAACAATGGTCAAAGGAGTCATTTGATGTGTTCCATCCTACTCTGAGGACCTCAAGTCCATTGAGAAAACTAGATCTTTAGGGCCTTGTGAAAATGTATCAAACTGGGGGCAATCTTATCTCTGCAGGGAAGATGTTCCACAGGGACCAAGCAACCACAAAGGAGGCCTTTCTTGTTGGTTCCACTAGGTAAACCTCCTTAGAGAATGAATTAGTAGCATTTCCAGCCTCCCTATTCTTGTGGATCAAGTAAATGTGATCGAGAAAAGACGGTCCGTCAAGAAACCCGATCTGAAGCCATATAAGACTTTGAAGGTGAATATCTTTCTTATCCTGACTTTTACTTCAAGGAATGAGACATAGGTGCAACAAACTCTTACAAAAAAAATTCAAAATAAAACCAGGCCAAATAGTAAATCAAGAAATACAAGTGATTCTAATATGTTGTTGTTCTTTCCATGCTATACTTTACAATACTTCTTTGTAAAAGAGTCCCAAGTTTTCCAAGACAACTATCTGAATCCTTAAATTCTGTATCATCATCAATTTAATTTTTGGGATCATGTAGAAACCATCAAATGTCATAGATTAGAGTTCAATAAAATACTATCTGCTGATCATTTAAGGCAAGGGTCCTCAAACTTGGCGACTTTAAGACTTGTGGACTTCAAGTCCCAG